TTGCTGCATATGATTCAGCTCCTTTCAGAATAAAAAAGAGTGACTCGGACACAGGTGTCGGTGAGTCTCCACAATTAACACAAGTGCAAGTCGGTGATACACAGGAATGTGGTGTGTGTCACGTTACAGTTTGTCAAGAAAAAGCATGGTGACATGGTGTATGATGAAATGCTTCAGCGTTAAGTTATTTAAACTATTTGGTTATATTGACATAACACCACCGCACCTAGAGCGGATGTGCCCAGCAAAAGGTCGTAAGCGCGCTTAATATGCCCTTTTGCCGGGAAGAATGATCATTGCAGAAAAAAATGTTCCCGGCAAGGGCGTAAGAAGTGTGGAGCAACACTCTTTGTTTAGTAAAAATTGAGAAAATTTACCACAAAATAAACACAGGCTGTACAAAAAGCAACCTTGTAACAACTTATTAATTAAACGACTTGGAAAATTTTTAGAAACCTTTTCGCAAAGAAACCTTTACATTTCATTAAATAAAACAGTTGCATGCATACTGTTCTTTTTCCCGGGAAGGGTTTTTTGCATTAATCATGCTTTCCCGCAAAAGAGCGTAAGCGCTTAGGCCCTTCTTCCAGGCACGCGACGGCATATCATCTTGGTCAGAGTTACTGTTACTTTAAATGTCTGCGTTATCGGTCTGTTATCATTAATTAAGAGACTTATTCATTAAAGATTTTTCCTGCGTAATCTCGTGCGCACAGAAAAAAATCAAGATTGTAAAGTCTTTTTACAGAGTAGTAAAACTCCCGCTTAGATTAGAAACCAATAGCAGAGACGATTTCATGGGATTTTCTAAAGAAAAGTTGAACAAAGCCAGAAAACCTGAGAGAAAACAATCAAAATCGCACCCCTGCACATTTTCAATGGCCCTTGTGTACATATGGGCATAACTTTGCATTTATCAGTGAAAGGTCTATTGTCGGCGGCGTGACTAAGGACGGGGGGCGCACGCCCAGCAAAAAAATCTCCCCCATTATGTGATCACGATTATTATGTATGTCCAACATCCAGTCAGCTCTCACCCTTAAATGTGAAGGCCCGCGCTCCCCCCCCGCTCAGAATCCTGGCTACGCCGCTGTTTATTGTGATAAGGAAAGAAAATTGTAACCAGGCCGATGCTGTTTGCTTGAAAGGCACTCTCTGTTGGGGCCACGACTAGAAACGACAGACGTGCATATTTCTCCAACTATGGCCCTTGCGTCGACCTCTTTGCACCTGGTGTAGGAATCCTTAGTACAGCCCACTCGTCCGACACCGGAAGTATGACTCTGTCAGGAACTTCAATGGCATGTCCTCATGTAACAGGTAAGTTCGCTTCGATGCCAATACATTTACGAACAATTGCTTGTTCAGTCAGTCGCATTGTTGGTCTCTCTATCATGCATAGGTCTCATAATGAAGACTCAGATTATTATTTGGAGAGCCCCATTTTCCTGCTGAACAGAAAAGCAAAAGTAGCTCTTAAAAGACAGATGTTTTTCAAAGATATTGTACAACCCTCCAGAACAATACTCCTTGTTATTATTTTCAAAGCAATGTTTTGGGCATAAGGATACGAAGCATATTTCTAAAATTCATATGCAGGTGCCGCTGCTGTTTATCTGGGATTAAACCCAGGTTCATCTCCGCGAGCGGTGCATTATGCCATTGTGAATAATGCGACTCCCGACGTAGTGTCTGACGCCAAAGGATCCCCGAACAAATTGCTCTATGTCCAGGTAAAATTTATGTTCAGTTGTGTTTTACCAAAGTGATCCTGGATTTTTGGCCAAGTTGGTCAAATATCATCGCAGTTAACATCCGATTCGCCAACTTTCAGTACGAAATGTATGCTTTGCTCTTTAAAAAGAGCTATTAAAAGTTGACAGTTTTGAATTCTCTCAACAAATGAAATCAGTCAAAATTAATCATTAAAAGGACTTTCAACGTTTGAAAGGCTACAAGAAAAATATTGAATCAGTTTCACATATCTGATCCATAAGAATTTTTTCAGACTGTATTGATATAACCTTCTATTAATAATGGGATATTAACAAAAAACAGAAGAAAGAAAGAAAATAATTACATTGATAAATGCATGACATCACATCAAAAAAAGAAATAAATTGGTACGAGTTTATTTTGCGTTTAACTGAATACTCACAAGTTAATGACGACCATTAAGGAAAACAGGTTACAAATCCACTGCCTCTGCGACTCTGAATTTGATCGCACCACTTGAAAACAGACTTTAGAAACTGAATTGTTCAAGAAGTTTGACATAATAAACGCTTAGCGACAATCTAAAAGTGAGGCACTTAATATTCTTTCTTGTCCTCTGCCATAAACAAAATACAGAGCCTCAAATTAATTTGAATGACAAGGTTCAATTCTGCATGGAGTGCATAGAAATCGCATTACTTCGTAAAAACACATGTGACAAACATTTCACTATCCAAACTGGGACAGTCGATTTTATTTTTGTTTTGACACATTTTTTCACTATAATTTGCAGCCCTAAGTATCTTCAGACCGTGGATACCGGAGATCAGCATCATATGACAAGATTTGGTAGGCTCGCCAGGCAGAAGGAAACAATGGATTAAGACGGCCCAAATCCTGAATCCATAAACAATGGAAATGTAATACCTCCTTGTTAACTTGTACGAATTGGATCAGTGATGTTTGCAATTTGGCTAAATTTATAAAGACCTGTGCATTATACAAGAAGTGGGCCTGTCATGTGCATGTCTTACCCATAAATGCTGCCCAGTTGAATCTTGACTGTAATGCATGTATTTTAAAGTTTTGTTCCTGAAATTATTTTCATAAAAAGTCATCATTGCAAGGCACCTACACTAACTACATGTACCCTTAAAGGATTGGTTTTGTAATCGGTAAGAACGTCAAAAAGACAAAATAGAAAGACAACTCTTCCACCGCTCAACAAAAATCTTGTATTACGATGTTCAAACTGAAAACAAAATAATATATAATTTCACTAGCCTCAGTGAATGAAATAAAAAAACCTGCATTTAATATGTATCCGTTTAATCCTTGAGTGGGTGTTCAAATGTGAGCGTTTTACGTTATGTTTTCCTACTGAAAGTAAAAATTAAGTTAATTATTGAAAAGACTTTTGGTTGATCCATTACATTCTTTGTTTGCTGGCATTTTTCCATCCATGCGAATCTGATATCTGGCAACAGCTTTGATTATTGAGATTTAGATCTAGCGCTATGAAAGCAGCCGAAGCTGTGAAGACAACAACGGCTGTTTCAGACAAGGTGTGATATAGACTGGTTCCCGTCCCGTACGTATCCCCAGATGTCTTACAGACGTCTTCTGAATGTAGGGACCGGTAGCAAAATATGAATCCTGCCGAGTGTTGTAAATGAGGAAATTATGCCCGCTTTATGCACAAATCAAATAGGAGCTGATTGCTTATTGTGCTTTTTCTTCTGCATTACCGAAAATAACATCACCATAAACTGTTCAGTTATTAAGAATTTAACACAACAACCACTGATTTGAAACAAATTGCTGCAAAATGATGATAATCATTCAAAAATGTATTAGCACACTGTGATAGACAGAGGCTTAGCAAGGATAGGTATTTTTGTATTTGGTTTTGCGTTTGTATTTTTCGGGTTAGGTCGGCTAAGCTATATTGTGAAAAAAACGAATCAAACAGAAAATAACCGAAACACCGAGCCAGGAAATTCACAGGATGAATTTACTTTTTAGAGCTAGAGATTACATGGCATTTTATGGCATCACATGTTTGTGGCGGCAGTGACGCGGCACATCAAAATAAAAATACGTACAGGAATGTAACCGATTCCGTATTTTTTGCGAATATTTGCTTCGTCCAGTCGAAGAGACGGATTACAAATCCTGTTCAAACAAAAGTTTGAATACAAAAAAAAATCTGAAAATACTTTTCTGCCAAAACTTTTTGAAAAAGTTATTTTAGAACACGGCGATCTCTTCATATTCTCTGGTACCCGCGACTCTCCTGCACACATACGATGAAAAATCGTGAAATGCGCAATTGCGCAGTTGGAATACCGAATAACGTGCATGGTTAGCAGACATGCAGGAAATTTATAGCGCAGGTCACCTAGTATTATGGGACAATACGACTACGTCTGACAAGTACTGTATATTCATGCATAGATCCATACAAAACTGGCAGAAGTTCAAGCACAAAACGGTTACATGAAATAAAGAGTGATTAGCCCAAACCAGACGTTCGGATTTTTTCGGTTCAATTACGTTTTTGTCGGTTCGGGTCGGTTTTTCCCTGATTTCTTGTCGGGGGGATGTATGGGGTCGGTTTGGAGAATTCAGATGGGTTTTGGTTCGGATTCGGTTTATGTCCTTAATGTTTCGGGTCGGTTTGGTCTAGTCAACCCAATCCCATGCGTATCACTGTGCACTGCGGGAGCCTTCTAAGTACATGAGTGAGGCGCGTCCTGTAGTCAGCTTCTGTCTACTGGTTTGTTTAGCTGTTCAGAAGAGGTGTCTCCCTCAAACACAGTTTCACATATAGGTTGTTCAGGAGCGTAACTATGACTTTTCGTCGGGGTGCAAATCCTCAACAAAGCGGACCAAGCATAGATCTTTAGCTCTTTTGATTTTGAAAAGCAACAGGATTCATGAGGTCGTACTAATTTTTTAGGGGGGTTACAAGTGAACTCCCGAAGAGGGGATTGACTGAGGCGAAAAAACCAAAGCGCACGGCATTTCTTCTTCTTAGTATTCTTTTTATTTTCGCAAAATGCACCACTTAAAGCTCGAGCTCTTTTCTTGCCTCAAAAGCGGACCGTTTTCGTGTGGTGGATACGGACGCACCCCCCCCCTCACACACACAGTTACGGGCCTGTTGTTACACGTTACAAAAATTGAAGTGCGAATCTTAAAGATCCACGCCGATAAGAACCAGGCTGCTGTTATTCTAGATTGATTTGAACATTTGATTATAACGATGAACAAAGAAATTGACTGGAGCGGAATTTGAACCTACAGCCTCTGGAATACCGTACCAGTGCTCTACCAACTGAGGCTCCGTCCAACTTTAATAGTTCTCTTTATTGTACATCGTAAATATTCATGTTTGTTCTAAGAGCTGTTCTGGAGGCATGCACATTAAGCACGAAAAAGAATGTCCATCGTTTGGATACAACTCGTGAAGTGCGGCCTTCCAAACTACCCTGTTTATTTTCATAAAAGAACAGGCAAAAGGTTTCATATTGTAGGAGTGCAAGGTATATCCACCAATTAAATAGGATGCAAATTTGCTATGAATTTATTGTCAAGTGGTACACGTATTTGAACATTTGTTTGTGAATACGTTATTGTTAAAAAGCGTAAACTTTTAAAAACAAAACTCTCAAATAATTCGAACTGACGAACAAATGTGACAATGTAATATGTTCATGCAATATCCGTATGCAATCTGCGAGGTTGGGGGTAATGACCCCTTGTTGCGTATGCGCATCTACGGGCTTAATAGGGTCGGTCGTGTACCTCTGTGGTCGCGTATGTTTTCTTCTTCCACTTAGTTCAGCTTAAAAAAATAAAATTATTGTTCAGGGCCGAACACTTAACGTCAGCACAGCTTTTGTGATGCAAATGGCCGTCTGATATAATTTCCTTTGTCGTCTAATGCAGCAGTAGCCTTTGTCGAGCAGTTAAATTCCTTGATTTCGTCTGTTCCTGTAAAAAGAAATCTCGATATTCTTACATCCGGAGTTTTCCCAAGAATTCGAAACACATAAAGGTGAAGCCAGCGCTGAACTAATTGAAGGCCATCCTGATCCTCATTAGCTTGCCACATTTTTAAGCCAGATTCAAGAGTGTAAATTTGGTTCATGCTGTGATTTTTTTCTGTCACAGCAAGTCATTACATACCTGAGAGTCAAGGTGATATAAGAATAGTATCGAATTCAGTAGGGTTAAATGGTATCGATAAAAATTGCTTTATGATATATCAAGGATCGGTACTGGCTTCTGTGGATACCAAGTGACGATGTTGCGTAAAATGACTTAATATCACTTTTAAAAAAGGAGCACTTTTTGCTTTATCATGCATATCCTGACTAATGTCCTTTGTAAATATATATGGGACAGATCTCCAGGAAAACTCCTGTAAGAAATATTTTCAACGGTTTATGTTACACACCATGCGTGCAACATTGGCAACACGCTCTACGGCGTCTCTATGTGAGACTACAGCATCCACTAGTATCAAACACTGGCTATGGCTCTTCACTGTTCGATCAAAACTCAAAGCCGTAGTCGTAGGAAACGCGACCAGAACGAAGCTCGCCCGTCAGGCGCGACCCCGTGGAAACCCGTACGTGTATTTACACTGTAAAAATGCGNTTTTTACAGTGTACTCAGTGGTGCACCAGCAGCGGTAGGTGAACATACATGTGGTGTATCCAACCAACGTATGCAAGTCAGAAGACACAGAAGATTGGTCCGTGTTCAAAACCATGTTTAATTGTATCTAATTTTGATCTGATAAGCAGACCTGCTGTTTCACCATGCTTGCTCAAAAGCGGTTTGGTTTTGTCACAGAAATTCACCATCTACAGTCGAATGATAATCTGATAATCAGTCAGTGTTCAAATTAAAACGAAATTCAGTTAGGTTGTGGAAAGCGCCGTCTGGTGATATTCAGGCATGGTGTTCACAGTAAAAATTAGATATGATTGGGATATAGAAAGCGCCGTCTGATGATACAATCCTACCCCATATGAGATTCCACCGCACATATGGGTGTCATGTAAGAAAAACATAGGCACACCCACATGGGAACAACGTTGGCCAGCCCACGTGGGCATATCCACATGGGAACTACTACTCTGCTGGAATGATCACATTTCTTCAATCTCAAAAATTGTTTCTCGTAACACGGGCGGTCTGTCCAAACTTTGCACTTTTTCCCACCATCTGCTTTGGTTTCCCTTTATAACACACTCATTCTACCTTACTTAAGCTATTGTAATATTGTTTGGGCACGCACAAGCAACGCTAAACTTCAGTAACTCACATCCATGATCACGATACTAGATTAATACGCCCAACCTCTTTTTTTTTCCATATCCACACACAACTTACTCTCTTAACACCCTTAGATTTCACGGATCACGTCTTTGGAATAACATCGATAATACATTGTAGTCATCACTGGTTCGGTTTAAAAGCTCTTTTAAAGGGTTCCTTGTCTCTGTAACAGTTATCTAGCATTGCTTCTTCTATATTCAATCATACCATTTTTGTCATGAGCCATCTATGTTGAATCACTTCATTTAATTTTTCCCATATCACTTAAGATTTAAGTCTCAGTCGCTTAACTGTATTGTCCGTTGTTTTGTCCGGTCCAATTGTCTTGTTTTGTCCTGTTTTGTTCAAGGCATATCTATACAAGACCTAGTCTTTCTGATAATGCCTCCGTTATTGCCATGCAGCTACTTTTTTTTTGTTTTATATTTTCGCATCTTGATTTTGAATTTACTTTGTTGTCATAATTTCTACATGTATTTTCGTCATATTCCATACAGGGCATTATGGAAATAAATGTTGTTGTTGAATTGAATTGAATCGAATTGAATTGAATTGAACTGAACTGAACTGAACTGAATCGAATTGAATTGAATTGAATTGAATTGAATTGAATTGAATATTGAATATTGAATATTGAATATTGAATATTGAATATTGAATATTGAATATTGAATATTGAATATTGAATATTGAATATTGAATATTGAATATTGAATATTGAATATTGAATATTGAATATTGAATATTGAATATTGAATATTGAATATTGAATATTGAATATTGAATATTGAATATTGAATATTGAATATTGAATATTGAATATTGAATATTGAATATTGAATATTGAATATTGAATATTGAATTGAACCTTGGCCAATCTGCATGGGTAGTATATTGGACAAACATGAGCACGCCCACATGGGAACTACGTGGGCTGCCACACGTGTATCAGATGAAACAAACCTGGGCACACGGGG